CATGGGAGAAAAATGTGGCTTCATGATAAAGTCACTGGAATCTGCAATTTGGCATTTGAGCCTCAGACGACACGTGATTATTAATCACACCTGTAAGCTGGGTGCCATATGTGCTCCAGATTGTTAAATCGTGACTGTTACACGATGAAAGGGGAAGTGAAGGAGACACACTTATGGGCTAACCTCTCAAATCACGTTTGAAAGTTTGTCTTAAATGTCTGATTAATCAGGAAATTAGAAGAGTGCCACCGCGACACTGAGCACTTATCATACGGTTTGAATTGTTGGTAAAAAGTGCCTTGTATTTTCTGCAGGTTTTATAGGGGAAACAGGGCCAGGATCCTGAGGCTTTCAGGGAGGGAAAGTATTGGTTACACACTTCCTTTCCCAGGACGGGAGTCTTGGAGTCAGACTGGAATCTGGCTCCCTTGGGAACCAGAGTCTTAGTTCCTGGTTACTTCAGTCTCCAAAATATAGCTGTCTTCCTGGAGTCTGCCCCAAACTGGCACATTCCCACCAGTGGAGGAGGATTCCTTGTGACTGGGAGGGGATGGTTGTCATTTTTCCTACAAGAATTCATAGTAAGTAAAGGTCAGTACTGTGTCCCAGCCCCAGTAAACACGAAAGCTGCCTGAGTGAGCACGTGGGACATTTAAGCACCCTGCATTTCCTGATCTACTGAGATCGTTCCCTTTCCTTAAATGCTCTAAATTTACATGCCATCAGTCAAGACTGAGCTCCACCGACTTTGGTTACAACGTTTTGTTCCTGCATCTACAAATCCCATGGGCACATCTGAACCTTATCCATGTGTGGTTCTCAAGGTTAGCCTGCCATGTGTCACAGGACACCAGGCAGTTCTGTTCCAGTTCATCGAGGCGGGGGGAGTGAGGGGACGCTGACATCATTTAGATGTGTTGCGGGGGAAGCATACAGACTGGGACAGAAATAATTCATTCAGGTTTCTTAAGAACAGGTGATTTCTGGAAAGTCTTCTTTAATTCAATGGGGTTTAAAGGTATCACTTCAGAGTCTGCAAGATGCTCACATCTGGCTGGCAAGTTCAGCTCCTGAGCGCATCCATGCCAGGGAATGAAGGATCTTCAGGAAAAACACGCTGACTGAAGTTCATGAACTGTGCACCAGGAAGGGTGAGTGCAAATTATGTCTCACTTACAAAAGTATGTAAGTATGTAAATGTGTCTCTTAGAAAGCAGATAGTTACTGAAGTGTATCCTTCTCCACATCCCGGTATGTAATGATGCTGTCAGGGAGGGAAAATATCTCCTCTACTCCCTTATGTGCAGTAACTAGGTTCTGTAAATTAAGTTGACAAAATACAGTTAACAAACAGGAGGAAAAATATTTGTGTCATATGCATACAGAAACCAACAAAATAAGTAGCTGGCTTTCTAAATGGTCAAAGTTAAAAGCTTGTATACCTAACTCATTAGGGGAAAAGAAGGGAGGAGAAATGGTTTCTAGGGAAAAATCAGTCTCTTTACAAAAGATGAGTGGGTTTTAAGACAGCCAGGAGACACATGACCATGTTTGTATACCGGCGTGGGTACTCTTCACCTTCTTCAGGGCCATCGCATTCCCAGAGACAGGCTAATTCCCCAGAAGTGACTGCTCTTAGTCAAATAAGGGATGCTCCAAGGAGGCTTTTTTCCTGCATATGTTGAATCTCAAATGTTTTCAGCTTAAAGCAGTCTTTCTGCCAGTGCTGGGCTCTGAGTGGGTGTTCATCTTCTACATCCATGTGTTTGCTGATGAGAACCCGTTCTTAGACTGCCAAGGAGGAGCCTTGGAGCCTTCATGCAGAGGATCACCAGGCTTTTCCAACATGTCCACTTCCAGCACAATCACTGTGATCATGTGAAGTCCTCAGTGACCCTCAGTTCAGTTCAGTTCAGTAGCTCAGTCATGTCCAACTCTTTGCGACCCCATAGACTGCAGCACACCAGGCTTCCCTGTCCAACACCAACTGTCAGAGTTTACTCAAACTCAAGTCCATTGAATCAGTGAGGCCATCCAGAAATCTCCTCCTCGGTCATTCCCTTCTCCTCCTGCCTTCAATCTTTCCCAGCATCAGGGTCTTTTCAAATGAGTCAGTTCTTCGCATCAGCTGGCCAAAATATTGGAGTTTCAGCTTCAGCACCAGTCCTTCTAATGAATATTCAGGACTCTAAATAAATATAATTCATTTGGGGAGACTTGGTATACCTGAAATGATACATCTTTCTGTTCAGGGACAAACTGTTTTTTATTTGTTTCCATTCGTTCTTCCATGTAAAGATTCACCTTTGCATTTATGTGGATACACCACTCTATGAAAACTTTCTGAAAGAATATTAGTGTTCTTAATGCTATTACAAATGGAACTTCTTGGGAGAACAGAGGACCCAGGAAAGATATCTCATACCGACAACACGAAGAAGTAAAACAAGCACTCGCTCCATGATGATATGTACAACACTGCTACATCTGAATACAGACTGTGGCTGTCTGAGGTTCCGCGGACCATGCAGGGTTCAGGGACCCAGGGAAGCTTGATCAAAGTTGCTTTAGGGACTGTGAAATCTCCTGCAGACCACAGGATGGAGGAGCAGCACTGACAGTGCTTCAGGCCAGGGTAAGTGATGAGGAATTCATCTGTGTTTTATAACAGAAATTAACTCCATCCAACTGGAGGAGAAGGTACACAAGAGAACGGCAGCCAATGGGACCAGACACACCACATGGCTGTGTTCTGGGGTTCCTGTGAAGAATCTCACCTCACTTAGAAGTTAGCTGGTCAATACTGACTGTTTGACAGTCCAGTCACTTCCCTGCCACACTCGTATGTCTAATTCCCTCAATAACACCTGAAGCCCATTTAGCAAAGAACACAACCGTCAAGAGATGTCAGAGATCCTGCAGCGTTCCTGAAGCTCTGTGCCTTGTGCATCTAAGGTGGAACATACTTTAGAACAGTGTCAAATACTGGAGCTTTGATCAGTCAAACTGTGGCTTTTAATATCATCCTAAAATGAAAAAAAAAGATATTTTTGTGACTCTGTCCAATTCTATTTTTATGTAACTAAACACTGTATTCATTTCATCATTCTGTTGGAACTTCTTAGAGGTATTAAATCAAAAGGGTGCCCCAGTTTGGGGAGGATTGTGAAAAAGCAGCAGCTAAGAAGCAGTAGATGGTCGAGCAGCAATAAGGAAGGAGACTGGACTCCCCACTCCCCCCAAAACAGAAGTCCAGGCTGCAAGACCTAGGAGAACAGGAATGAACCCAAACATCACCCAAAAGGGAGATCTTTTTTTTCTCTCACTCATACAGCCTAATAATAATAACAAATCTATGAAAATTAGTCTGAGAGTCAGCAATAAGAATTAACTGTCACAAAGTGATAAGCAATGACACCGATTTTCAAAGACACTCCTATAGGATATTTTGGAAATTTGTATTTTGATTTATAGGACTTCACAGAATTTATCACTACAAAGGGGAAAACCCCATTGTTGGAAGTACAAGGTAACAATTAATGGGCTATGAGCAGCCTATTCCTGAGGAGAAGGGTATATTTGTAGATTTCATAAAGAGCTACATTTTAGTCTTTGCTTTTTTACTATATCTTTCTGTTCAGATTTATATTTAAATGTGCCTTAAAATGTCATTACCTGAAAAGGAACTAAATGCTCTGCTTAATGAATAATGCAGTTTTCTGAAAAAGTAGAAGTAACTCTAAACATTTCAATTGGACATAAAATTGCTTAAATCTTTAAATGACAACAAAGCTTTACTACTGTCTTTGGAAATAGTTAAATATCTAAGTCAGTTGCAATTTCAATGACATTGCAGCATTATAAATTACAAAATTGTAAATTCTGTGTATTACATATTTCAGAATTATAAATTCCAACCAAAGTCCAAATAGCGGTCTACTAGGACAAACACTGACTTTCGTGCATCAGTGAGAAATCACTTGAAATCCTTGTGCCGAAGAAGCTATAGCAGAGAATTAGGATTCACTGGCATTGTGCATACATTTTTATAACAAAGTTCTCAAATAATGATAGTTTAATAAGGTCTTATATTCAGGAGCATCATAATAAGAGTATGTATCTGTGTGAGTGCATGTACATACACACACACGCACATACATACACCATAGATTTAGCAGAACATTGAGAAGAAATATGATAAAGTGATCATGCTACAGCCTTGCAGGTAATTATACACAAAGATGAATGTTGAAGAACATGGATTTTTCTTATCACATTGGAACCAGCCTTCAGGTTCTTTAATTTCATAAATTGGGAATTGCAGGATTCTCCATGATGAACAATATTTTTAGAGAGATAATAAAAACACTGTGTAATTACATACTGCTTTTAAGCTGAGTGCTTGGCAAACACTGTCCTGAAAGCACACTGCCGGCTGGCTGTGCTTTTTGTTTCATCTGGAAATGCTCATTTATGTGTGCTGAAAAGAACTAGAATTTCTATAATATATGATGAGGAACATAGGTGAGCAGAAGGAGAATATAAGTCTTGCAGATTATTTTCTAAGAAAAAGCAAATAAGCAATTAAGGATTTCTTTACATAAATAGTGGCTCACATACTCTCATGTTCCTTTATTTATAAATGCAGTCAACAAACTTCAATTGAAGGTGAACCTCGCGATAGAGATTTTATTAGTGTACCTGACAAGCAAAACGAAATGCCAGCAAAGAGACACAGATCTCAGGCTTAACACTGCACAGGTTTTGCTCTGCCCTCTCAACCCCCAACATGCCTTGTGAAGGGTCAGGTCCTGCTGCTATTTGCTGTCCTTCAGGACTCAGGCTCCTTCTTTCCCAGAATCCGATCATGCCCTGGGGTCCTCAGTTCTGTCTTTGCTATAGGAGAAAACAGAAGCCTTTCCCCAACCAGCAGGATCTGCCCCCGGGCCTGTGACCATAGTTAACCTGGGGCAAAGCTGACCTGGAGGCCCTGGGCAGACTCAGAACCAGGCAGGGCGCACCTGCAGCCACGCAGGGTCAGGCAGGGCCGGATTCCCGTGCTGGAGTCCAGGTGCGTCCGCAGCACCAGGGAGGGAGCTCCTCGGGGTAAGAGCATCTAACAGGACGGGGCCGAAGAAGCCATCCACACGGCTCTTCCAGCAGCGGGGCCCATGGCCTACAGAGGAGAAGCACAAAGCCAGAATGAGATCACAGGGGACCGGCAGGCTGGGAGGCCAGGCTACACCGACATCATGCTGTGTGCACTTCTGGTGCTGCAGCCCCGGGTTCCCACAAACCCAGGTTCCCACAAACCTGGGGCATGTCTATTACTACACAGATCAGAGGTCAGAAACCAGAATTCGGTTTCCCTGGGCTGAAACACTGGATCCAGGTCAGTGCTTCCTCCTGAGGATCCAGGGGGCACCTCGTCCACTTCCCAGCCTGCAGGTGGCATCCTGCATCCTCTGCTCCTGGCCCTTTGGGCAACTTCTGAGCCCAGCACCTCTACCTCATCACATGGCCTTCTCCTCTGCCTCTGGCTAGGAGGACCCCGTGTTTACCTGAGGGCCCATCTGGACAAGGCCAGATCATCTCCCACCTCCAGTCCCTGAGCCTGGTCACATCCACCAGATCCCCGCAGCCCTGGGCACTCTTGGGAAACTCTGTTCAGATCAACACACTCTATATTCCATCCCAGCAAGGCCCGGGGGACCCCTCACTGATGACGTGGCAGGGGAGGAGGCTTATGGGAGTCTCCAGGCCAAGGCTGCCTTATTGGGTGCTATCACAGGGTTAGGGTCAATGACGGCCATGTAATCATCATTTCAGTCCAGTTCAGTTCAGTTGCTCAGTCATGTCCAACTCTTTATGACCCCATGGACTGCAGCACACCAGGCCTCCCTGTCCATCACCATCTCCCAGAGCTTGCTCAAACTCATGTCCATTAAGTCCATGATATCATCAAACCATCTCATCCTCTGTTGTCGCCTTCTCCTCCTGCCTTCAATCTTTCCCAGCATCAGGGTCTTTTCCAATGAGTAAGTTCTTCGCATCAGGTAACCAAAGTATTGGAGTTTCAGCTTTAGCACCAGACCTTTCAATGAATATTCAGGACTGATTTCCTTTAGGATGACTGCTTTGATCTCCATGCAGTCCAAGGGACTCTCAAGAGTCTTCTCCAACACCACAGTTCAAAAGCGTCAATTCTTTGGCATTCAAAAGCAGTTGGCACAACCCCCGTGTTAATTTTCCTGTGGAGAAAGCGCTATAACGGGGGGTCAGGCCACAGAGACGTCTCTGAATCTGCCTTCCCATGCCCACCCCCACCAAGATGGTAAATGAGAAACACTTCAGGAAGCAGCAGGGCAGCAGCAGTTAGCCTCACTCAGCCAAGGAGCCTGAGTCTGTGCTGTCAGTGTCTGTCCTCCCCTGCCGCTGCCTGGCCACACCCACATGATGTTCCCCTCTGGCTTGGCATCAGATCACAGGGGACATTCAGTGGTCAGTCTCTTTAACATGTTCTTGTCTATCCCTACCAAATACATCTGAAACTTCCATCCAAGACAGGAGGATTAGAGTGGTCTCACACACTGTAACTCCTAGAGTTCCACTTGGGGAATCTCCCAGGTGGCATGGTGTTAAAGAATCTGCCTGCCAATGCAGGAGACGCGGGAGACACAGGTTCCATCCCTGGATCGGAAAGATCCCCCGAGGAAGGGCATGACAACCCACTCCAGTATTCTTGCCTGGAGAATCCAATGGACAGAGGAGCCTGGGGAGCTACAGTCTACGGGGTAGCAAAGAGTCAGACATGACTGAGCGACTGAGCATGCATATACACATACAAGCTTCCTGTAAAGACACCTCTGGCTCTGAAGGTTTAGAAACCCTGATTCCCAGAGAGGGAATCCTCCCATCAGGGGATCAAGACCCAAAGTCACCCCTTCCCCAGGGCCTGGGTGATGAAGAGCCTCAGGGCCCAGTGGCCGGGGCCGCTGCTGATTCTCCCCTGCAGCCTGGCTTCTCCTGTTGGGTAATTCTTACTCAAATATTGTTTTTCACTATCACTGAGTTCAAAGTATTTTCAAATTATCATTGCAGGTACCATCTAACCCATAGATTGTTTCACAGAGTCTTGTCTGATATCCAGATGCTTAGGCCCTTTTGTTTTTTTTTTGTTGTTGTTGTTGTTGTTTATTTTTTTTTAATTAATTAATTTATTTATTTTTTTTATCACAACCATAGTGTATCTTTTTTTTTTTTTTTACATGTATTCCCCATCCCGGTCCCCCCTCCCACCTCCCTCTCCACCCAATCCCTCTGGGTCTTCCCAGTGCACCAGGCCCGAGCACTTGTCTCATGCACCCAACCTGGGCTGGTGAACTGTTTCACCCTAGATAATATACGTGTTTCAATGCTGTTCTCTTGAAACATCCCACCCTTGCCTTCTCCCAGAGTCCACAAGTCTGTTCTATACATAGGAGTCTCTTTTTCTGTTTTGCACATAGGGTTATCGTTACCATCTTTCTAAATTCCATATATATGTGTTAGTATACTGTAATGGTCTTTATCTTTCAGGCTTACTTCGCTCTGTATAATGGGCTCCAGTTTCATCCATCTCATTAGAACTGATTCAAATGAATTCTTTTTAATGGCTGAGTAATATTCCATGGTGTATATGTACCACAGCTTCCTCATCCATTCATCTGCTGATGGGCATCTAGGTTGCTTCCATGTCCTGGCTATTATAAACAGTGCTGCGATGAACATTGGGGTACACGTGTCTCTTTCAGATCTGGTTTCCTCGGTGTGTATGCCCAGAAGTGGGATTGCTGGGTCATATGGCAGTTCTATTTCCAGCTTTTTAAGAAATCTCCACACTGTTTTCCATAGTGGCTGTACTAATTTGCATTCCCACCAACAGTGTAAGAGGGTTCCCTTTTCTCCACACCCTCTCCAGCATTTATTGCTTGTAGACTTTTGGATAGCAGCCATCCTGACTGGTGTGTAATGGTACCTCATTGTGGTTTTGATTTGCATTTCTCTGATAATGAGTGATGTTGAGCATCTTTTCATGTGTTTGTTAGCCATCTGTATGTCTTCCTTGGAGAAATGTCTGTTCAGTTCTTTGGCCCATTTTTTGATTGGGTCATTTATTTTTCTGGAGTTGAGCTGGAGGAGTTGCTTGTATATTTTTGAGATTAATCCTTTGTCTGTTGCTTCGTTTGCTATTATTTTCTCCCAATCTGAGGGCTGTCTTTTCACCTTGCTTATAGTTTCCTTTGTTGTGCAAAAGCTTTTAAGTTTCATTAGGTCCCATTTGTTTATTTTTGCTTTTATTTCTAAAATTCTGGGATGTGGGTCATAGAGGATCCTGCTGTGATTTATGTCGGAGAGTGTTTTGCCTATGTTCTCCTCTAGGAGTTTTATAGTTTCTGGTCTTACATTTAGATCTTTAATCCATCTTGAGTTTATTTTTGTGTATGGTGTTAGAAAGTGTTCTAGTTTCATTCTTTTACAGGTGGTTGACCAGTTTTCCCAGCACCACTTGTTAAAGAGGTTGTCTTTTTTCCATTGTATATCCTTGCCTCCTTTGTCAAAGATAAGGTGACCATAGGTTCGTGGAATTATCTCTGGCTTAGGCCCTTTTGTTTATCCTGCCCTTAGTGATTCCTGGATCATGCCAGGGTCACTGATCGCATTGCACAGGATTCCAACCCTTAGACATATGCTCAGACTTATTTTACGGCCCAGCATGTGGTCTATTCTGGTAAATGCTTCATGCGCCCATAGAAAGAGACTGCATCTACAGTGTGAATGCAGCGTCCATTGGCATCAAATAGATAAAGTGCATCGACTGAGTTGCTGAAACCTACTATGTATTCATTGTTTTTTTTCTGCTCACTCTCGCAGTTATTAAGATGGATGTGTTAAAATCTTGAATCAAGGCTGAATCGGGACCTGATAGCTGACATTCAGGGGTGGGGCACCAATGCTGTCACTTAGTTTTTGCTAACACAGTTGTGCATTTTTTCTTGAATTACTTAAAGTCTTGAGTAAGGTATACTGCAGGAGATGAAAGATCTCCTGGGATTTTACCACTGTTTGAAATATTCAAATAAAACACACCACCTTTTCCTAATATGTTACTGAATTTTGAGGCCAGTAAATGTTCCCTGTGAGAGAAATTGCACTTTTTGGGAGGAACATAAGTTGTGACTGCAAAATTTTCTATCCAATGGAAATGTCTCCGAGTGCTCCTGTCCTCTTTGAGGTTGTGCCTGCCTGAGGACAGCCTGAACTTACTTCCAAGGCTCTCTCTACTTCTCACTCTACCATAGCCATGGGCTTGGCACCTGGGTCAGGACAGACAGCACTGGCACACAGCAGGAAATCTCCCTTCTATCACAGCGGGGTCCCTTACCACTGTGGTTGTGGACAAGTAAATTTGATCTTTTTGGGGCATCAAAGCTTATTTATTTGTGAAATGGATTTTTTTTATAAGATCAGTGTTTTTCAGCCTTTTTTCCCCCCTTTTCTCAGAACCATCCAAGAAAAGACTTCTAATAATAATTTTCAAGGTTTTGGCTTTTTTTTTTTTTTACCACAGTGTATATTCAAGGGAACTTTTCATGTAAGGATGGGCAAGATAAAGAACAGAGATGGTAAGGACCTAATAGAAGCAGAAGAGATTAAGAAGAGGTGGCAAGAATACACAGAAGAACTGTACAAAAAAGGTCTTAATGACCTTGATAACCACAATGGTGTGGTCACTCAAACCAGTTAATCCTATAAGAAATCAACACTAAATATTCATTGGAAGGCCTGATGCTGAAGCTGAAACTCCAATACTTTGGCCACCTGAATCGAATAACTGACTCATTGGCAAAGACCCTGATGCTAGGAAAGATTGAGGGCAGGAGGAGAAGGGGTCGACAGGATGAAATGGTTGGATGGCATCACTGACTCAATGGACACGAGTTTGAGAACTTCCATAGGGTCAAAAAGAGTTAGACACAACATAGCAACTGAACAACAACATACTCTTTGAAAACTTGCCTTTGTTTAAGATAGCACACCCCTCTAGGGTTTCTTTAATCACTGGCTTCTTACACTCACAATACCTTGTTTCTTTTACAATTCTTTACTTGGAACTCAGCTAAATGAATATCATAGTTAATACCGAGTAATTATTTCAGTTCAGTTCAGTCGCTCAGTTGTGTCTAACTCTTTGTGACCCCATGGACTGCAGCACACCTGGCTTCCCTGTCCATCACCAATTCCTGGAGCCTATTCAAACTCATGTCTATCGTATTGGTGATGCCATCCAACCATCTCATCCTCTGTCATCCCCTTCTCCTCCAGCCTTCAATTTTTCACCTTCATCATCAGGGTCTTTTCAAAGGAGTCAGTTCTTTGCATCAGGTGGCCAAAGTATTGGAATTTCAGCTTCAG